CAAAGAGAGAAGGGGGATAATTCTCTTGTTTCACCCTTTCTCATGCTCTTCTATCTCCCACTAGTGTGTTTCATGACTTAACCTAATTAGAAGTCAGCTAGCAAGAAATCCCAGGAAATTCTGAGCTCCTATGGGAGTTAGTACATCTCAATACTGAGTGGAGTAGGAAATGGGTAGAGAATGGATCTAAGAGCAAACGACCTCTTAGTGGTTAGCTAACAGAGCTAAATTTTTCCATGAATCCCTTGGTTCATGAATGTAAATACAGTATCCAAGGAAAAATAACAAGTCCAACATGTAGAACTTTGTTCATAAACATATTAGGATCCTGTTTTATAATTTTCCAAGCAATTGCTTGATTTTGATACCTCAGGACAAGCCGGAGGCATGGGCAGAGCAAGTAACCCCATCCTAGTTTACAGATGACAAAACTGGCATTTAGAAGGTTAGTGACTTCCTTAAGATCAAACTGCAAAACAATGGACAAGCAAAACTTCCTGGGAAGATGCCCTTTCATTACTCTGCACTGCCTTTTTTGAAGTTCCTTTGAGACACACTCATTAAAAATTTAAATAATAGTTCACCTGGAACAAACATTTATTTTACTTGTAGGTGAATATCACAAAACACATTTTAAAAGCAAATTTAACCAATATTCAACCTTAAAATTTTAATGATAGAGCTTTGCACTCACTTTTATCTTCCAAGTTAAAGGGAGAATTTTAGAGTTGCAGCATTTCTAGACAATGTCTATAAAACAGTGAGCTACTTGCTTTGCGTTCAGAAGGGGCTCACACTGTGGGGAATATAGTTTGACTCATTAAAATTAGTAGTAGATGTACTAGCAGTAGTGATGATGATGATGATAATGATGATGATGTTGATGATGCTGATGATTAATATTTATGTAATCCTTCGGACATGCCAGGCACCTTTGTAAATGTTCTCCCTGAATTCTCTAAGTTAACCCACACAATCATATTTCCACATAAATACTGTTAATATTCCCATTTAGCAAAGGAGGAAACTGAGGCACAGAAAAGATATCTAACTTTCCCATTTGCCATATAACTACTAAGTGATCACGCCAGGATTCAAACCTAGCAGGCTTATTGTATTGCTCAGGCTTTTAGCTACTCTTTCACTTCCTCTTCTCTTTTCTACCATGTAGGGTCAATATCACTAAAATAAGTTCTTACAAAGAAAAAAAAAAAGAGAGAAGATAAAGTAGAAAAAAATACTTGAAATTCTTGAAATTAATTCAGGTTGTCTCATAGTTCACAATCACTTTTTCTGCCTAAAATACTGTGAATATATATCAAGCACATATTGCAGTAGTAGCATAATGGGTTTGAATATGAAAAATTTCTTTCCTGGTTGGGGAACCAACCTTTTGGGGATTTAGCATTTTATATTCTTCATAGAAAATACACACACACACACATACACAAAGGCAATCTTTTTTTATAAGCTAGTGCTCACAGTATTTTAAATTTCTTCACATACCGTGATCACCACACAAGCAATTCCCTGTGGTGTAAACCATTGTAAATGGAATTCAGAAAGAGAAAAGGGAGTGTGTGAAGTCTATTGTAGTTTTGAATTTACACTCCTTCTGAGGTCTGGAGTTATCCCCATAGTAAATTTCACAGCAGTAGGCAAAACCGGTCAAGGTCATGGTTCCTAGTGTGAATGACACTTGGGTAAAGCCCAAGATGGGCGGGCAGAATATTACTGTAGGAGAAAGGGAAAACATTCTGTTGTGGGGAATGTCTTTAAGAAGGGAGAAAAGAGAAAGGCTACCTTTGAGAACCTTTGTGTTTATATAAGGGCCTGAGCCCCCTCAGTGTCAGTCAAGATCAGTGGGAGTTTTACTTTTTAATCCTACATCCTCACAAAACCTGGGCAGCATTCAGTGAGGGTTAGCACTCAGTGAGGATTTCCTTAGGTATAACAGTCCTAACTTTCTCTGTGAATACAATTTTGCAGAAAAATATATGGCACGCGTATTTCTGCCTTTCAAGCATTAAAGTTCATCAAAAAGCTCTGGTCTGACATCAAGACTCACTCTTTACTACCTTGTTTAGTAGGAAATCTCTCATTTAACTCTAGCTTGCTATTTCTTTCAGAGATTTTGGAAAATTCCAGGATAGGTTATTCATAATTTTAGGCATTTTTATGATCTATTGATTATGTTTTTAGATTCATTAGCACCTTCTGCATTTTATGTTTTTTAATTTTAACAGCTTTTTTGAAGTGTAATTGATATACAAAAACTGCATACAATTATATGGGCTAGAACATGTGCACATAACCATGAAACCATCCAAATAGTATAACCTCTTATATCTAGACTTTTCAAATAAGAACCTATGAGTGATGGGTGGCTTCCAAGGTTATTTAACTTGCTTGAGTAAAATAAATGATTTTAATTATATATTTACTAAAAATTTTGTTTTTATTTTGTATTCCTGAGCTTATACATATATGCTCTGATATTGGTCCATCGTAAGTATTTTGTTAACAATTCACTCTTTTATAAAAGGAATTCACTTGAAAAAAAGGTAACCAAGTTATTGTTCTCAGTTTTGTGGATGTTTATGCTATTAATTAGAGATTTAATAGATGAGAGATAATAAGCTCTTCTTTTAAAATGCAAATACCACCCTCTGGATAGTAAGGGCCAATTACATGTTCTTTCGTATCTTGGAATACATTACTTTTATCACTTTAGGTTTGGCTTAAGTGAGGAGGAGAAGGGAAGAAGTGGTAATTTTGTACCCTAGGAAATTTCTAGAAAAGGCAAGCCTTTGGCAAAAGTTCCCTAAGAAGGGCTTTCAAATAGTGTGAGGATCTGAAAAGTGGAAAATAGAAATTGCAGTGCTTGATAAAAGGAGTATAGAAGAAAAGGCAGGCATTCCACGAGGATAAATGTTAATTGTTTTGTAAGAGCAGCAACTATGTTCTGTGCCTTTAGACACTGTCCTCTGCTTTCATAGCAAAAGTCAGTGATATTGTCATTAGCTTCTTGGTAATAGTTTGGTAATCTGGATCTATTTGCTATATGCAGTAAATACTATTATTTAGTTTGATTCTAGGATGTTTTAGTTAACTGAGAAATTACCTTATATATAGATTGTATATGTTTAATAGGAGTTCAACCAAACACGCTGAAATTATGCTGAGAATACTGTTTGATTTTTATTCTGTACATATCATACTAACACAAAAGAACAAATATTAAAAACAAAAATGATTTTTCTCCTCAGAAGCATTATTTTCAATTTCTTCCATTTTGTGTTCAGCTCATGATTACGTATTCTTAGAGATAAAAAAAAAAAACACAGTGTAGTTAAAAATTGTGTTCTGTTTTTTACACAAGAAAATTGTGTTCTTTTTACAGTGATTACTGTGTGCATTTGCTCTATATTGTACCATCGGAATGGTGTATTATGTTCTTTTAATGTCCCTGAATTAAACATTGACATTGTTTCTCTTTTTTTTTCTCTCGAGATGGAGTTTTGCTCTGTCACCCAGGCTGGAGTGCAGTGGTGCAATCTTGGCTCACTGCAACTTCTGCCTCCTGGGTTCAAGCAATTCTCTGCCTCAGCGTCCTGAGTAGCTGGGATTACAGGAGCCTGCCACCATGCCCAGCTAATTTTTACATTTTTAGTAGAGACGGTGTTTCACCATCTTGGCCAGACTGGTCTCGAACTCCTGATCTCATGATCCACCCACCTTGGCCTCCCTAAGTGCTGGGATTACAGGCATGAGCCACTGCACCCGGCCTGTTTCTCATTTTTTTACTGCTTTGGTTAATGAAGATTTTAAGTCATATAGTGTATTGATCTTCTGTTGAAGATTGTATTAGGCTAAAGTACCAAAAGTGAGATTACTGAGTCAATGGGAATAAGCATTTGTATGTCACTTGGTATCTATTGCCAAATTGTCCTAATAGATACTGTCCCCAGCAGTAATACATGAATGTGCTAGTTTTATTGGTCTTTTAAGCTTTGGATTTTATTTTTTGTTAATTTAATTGGTGTCCAATTGTACCTTTTCAATACTCTGTTTTTCTATTACTTGAAAGTTAACTTTTTTCTTTTTAAATAAAATCATCCTACTCTTTCTCTTGTTTCAACTACCTGTTCCTGTTCCTCTGTCCATTTATCAATGACTTAACCCATTGTATTGAATTTGATATAACTATCTTAACAATTAGTATTATCTTAATGTTTAGAAGCCTCCTCTCTGCACTTGCAGAAATGTTTAATAGAAATTTCAGGTTGATATGCTTCGAGACAAACCCTACCATTAATCGACTTCTTTCTTTGAAATATGTTTCAAGTGATTAGATAGCAAGTTTGAAAACACTGAATTACCAAAGACAAACAACGAAGAAAATGTAGGTGATTTGGTTTAGCAAGATTCTTATATTTTGACTTTTATTCCAATTTTAAAGTAGGATATTCTAAAAGTATTTTGATCCTTCAAAAAGTTCGTAACTAGAATAACAGTACTATTCTTCTGTTGTTCAATATTTTCTGTATGCACGTTTAGTTGAACGCCAGTAGATGGCACTAATTACATAAACGATTCAACAAGTTAATGAAGAGGAAAAGAAATGTATGAGATTTTTTTTTGGTTCAAATGTTGTTATATGTTACATAGTCAACAATTACATATGAGCTTATTTTTGTAGTTTTTTTCTCTTGTGATAAAACAATTAAGCCCACTTTATTGCCAATTAATTGCTACTAAGTTGAAATAATTGATACTGGTTGTTGCTCAAGATGCTGCATTTGAAAAGTTTGTCCTGAAAGGTGGGTTACCTTATACTGTCATGACTGACTAAATTAACATGGTAGGTTAAAAGCAATCTAATATACGTATTCTGACCTGAGGATTCAGAAGCTGTTTACGAAGTATTTTAAGACACTCCCACTGGAGATTTCAGAAAAAAAAATGACATTCATTCTCTTTCTCATAAAAATCTATAGCAGTTGGCCAAAGACCTCCGCCAGTGGCAGATAAATGTAGATGTGGCAAATGACTTGGCCCTGAAACTTCTCCGGGATTATTCTGCAGATGATACCAGAAAAGTCCACATGATAACAGAGAATATCAATGCCTCTTGGGGAAGCATTCATAAAAGGTATGAACTACATTATTTCTAAAACTACTCTTGGCTATAATAATGGGGTGGTGAAACTGTATGGAACATGAAGATTTGTTTTTCCAATCCAGCTAAACTGGAGCTTGGGAGGGTTCAAGATGATAAATACCAACTAAACTCACTGACTTGGCTCAGACTTCTATTTTTAAAATGAGGAACATAAGATCTCATTTGCCCATTGTCACAAAAGTAGTGACATAACCAACAGATTAAACAAAAAGCAAAATACTGATTTATAGCTAGAAGAGCCATTTATCAGTCTACTTTGAGAACTCTATCCAAAGTCCAAAGAATTATCTTTCTATCTTATCATGGCACACACTGCCTTACCTGTTATTTGATAAATAAGTCACTTTGGGATTCATGATGGAGTTATAGCTGTCCATGGTATCATTCTCATGTCTCACTCCACACACCCAATGGGAAAATTTGTGGAGGGTAATATGACTCATCACTTCATTTCCCATTATATATCTATGGAAATCAACAGCTCTTATAGACAGTATCTCCTCAAACTAAGCTTTGTACCCTTATTATACCTCTCTTGATCTCTAGTGCTTTTTTCACTAGCATTTATTCCAATTATAAATAAAAATATAAAATTATGAAACTAATTGTTAAATATTTGTCCTTTAAATTAATCTGAATGCCATGAGGACAGAGATTTTGTCTTTCCTATGTGATATATCCCCAGATCCTGAACCACGCAATATAAAAATTGGGAGCTAGTAAATGTTTTTTGAATGATGATTCCCTTTGCAGAATGTACAATTACCTTGTGCCAGCTGAAAAAATAGTACCTGTACAACATGAGGAAGACCATGGTGAAAAATAATTGAGTTCCAAAATATGACATCAATTACTGAAAAAATAAGCTCAGTGATTTTTAACGAGAAGTAAAAGCCACCATTGGGGCCAAAACAGATTTTGAACTAAGAGCAGGAAGTCTTAGGAGAAATGAGATAATGATATATAGAAATTAAGAGACCAACTAAATTTTGAAACTAAGCTAGACATTAGACAGTAAAAACTCCTATGAAGCTGAATTTAAGCTAGTGACCCTGGAGAATAGAGCAACTCTAATCCTGAATTCCAGACAGTAAGTGTATAGATGGAAAAGAACATGGAAAAGAAGATTCAACCTAAAGTTGGAAAGTTTTAATTGGAGCCCTATGAAAAAGACCCCGATGGAGAAAGGGCAAACTTGAATATGGAACTGATATTTGGAAATTTTCTCATAGTAACTACTTTTTCTCAATGGCAAGACTTGGACTTTCTTCTCAAAATACAGATCTTGTATGTGTTCAATTAAACAGGGACAGATTACGTTCAGGAAGAATTATTCACATGGAATCAATTGGTATCAGAGAGTCAACCATTAGATCTTAGTGGGAAATATCTGCTTTCCAAAGAGAAGCCTTTTTGGAAAAGTCAATTAAAGTCAGAGATTAATTTGATGAGTTTAGGGAATATAAACTAAGGAGCCAAGAAAAAAGCTTGCTCATGGTATGAAACTAGAGCTTCAGGACACTGGTCGATTCTATCTGTACTACTCTTTCTGACAGACCCCTCTCTTCATTCTCATGCTCCTTGATGGCCCAAGCAACTCTTTCAGTTTTTAAAAAATTGTTTTATTAAGGTCTTTGGATTCTTCATGGGAATGACTTCCAGTTGATATTTTTTGGCTTGTTTCCAAAAAGCTATCAGCTGAGGAATGCATATAGTTACTTCTCCTGTGGGTGAAGTAAGTTAGAATTTTAGAAACCAACTCACATTTTTGGCCTGTAGAGAATCTGCAATTCACCAAGCTACTTCTGACTCATGTCTATAAAGTTCTTCCCTGTTCTTTTCTCACTTCACATGTACCCTGTAGAAGAATTCATCCACTTGTATAGTTTCAGTCTGTTGATGACTATCCATCTATAATTCCAGCTGAGAATGATCTTTTGAGCTTTAGACATATAGAGGTCACTGCTTTCTTTCTATGTTAATGTCCCACAGGAACTTCATATTGAAGAGGTCCAAAGCTAAACTCATCTTTGCCTTCTTCCAATCTCTTTCTCCAAATGCAACCTACTTCTGTTGTCCTTGTCTTAGTCCTTTTTGTGCTTCCATAACAGAATACCACAGACTGGGTAATTTATAATGAACAGGGATTTGTTGGCTCATATTTCTGGAGGCTGGGAAGTCCAAGATCAAGGAGCTGGAATCTGGTAAGGGCCTTCTTGTTGTGTCATGATTCCATGATGGAAGGTGGAAGAACAAAAGAGAGAAAAAATGGGACTAAACTTGTCTTATATGAAACTCACTCCGACAATAATGATGCTAATCTGTTCATGAGGGCAGAACCTTCATGTTCTAATCACGTCTTAAAGATCACACTTACTACTGTTGCAATGGCAATTAAATTTTACCATAAGTTTGGGAAGGGACAAACACTACACCATAGCATTCTGCCCCTTTTTCCCCAAAATTCACGTTCTTCTCAATGACAAAATACATTCATTTCATCCCCAAAGCCCCAAAAGTCTTAACTCATTTCAGCATAAACTCAAAAGTCCAATCTAATATAAATTAGATATAGGTGAGACTCAAGGCACAATTCATCTTGACTCAAATTCCCCTCCATCTCTGAGCCTGCAAAATCAAATCAAGTTCATCCCCTCACCCCCTACCCTTCCCAGCATCACGTAACCACCAATCACAGAAAGTTTTATTGATAGTCCTGCTCTAGATTATCTTTGTCTATGTTCACTTTAGCTATTTATCCTAGTGTTCCATTATTGGAACACTGAGCATGTGGGAGTTATTTATATTCTACTGTTCAAGGTCATCATCAAGGTCTGATTGCAAAAATTCAAAAAATTACAACCTTAGGCATAAATGGGTTAAGCAGTTTAGAGTACATTTATAATAATTATTTACTACACTACTTCAAAAAACTTATTGCCTCTATTTGTAAATAGTGTTGTCTCTACACAGGGGTTTGTTGTCATGCATTTGCTTGTTTCTGCCTGATTTTTTTCTATTTATACATTTTCTTTTTTATTTTTATTTTTATTTTTTAACTTTTAAGTTCAGGGGTACATGTGCAAGTTTGCTACATAGGTAAACTTGTGTCATGGGGGTTTGTTGTGCGGATTGTTTCATCACCTAGGTATTAATCTTGGTACCCATTAGTTATTTTTCCTGATCCTCTCACTCCTCCCACCCTCCACACTCCAATAGTCCCTAGTGTGTGTTGTTCCCCTCTATATGTCCATATGTTCTCATCATTTGGCTCCCACTTATAAGTGAGAACATGGGGTATTTGGTTTTCTGTTCCTGTGTTAGTTTGATAAGGACAATTGGCCTCCAGCTCCATCCATGTCCCTGCAAAGGACATGATCTCATTCTTTTTCATGGCTGCATAGTAATCCATGGTATTTCTGTTGGTCTCAAAAACTACAACTATGACAGGATGGCATTTTCACTTTTGTTGTTATATTAAACTCATCTTAAAAAGGAAAGATTAATAATATCAATATTTGGGTTATGGAGAAAAAGTATCTCATATCTTTGAAAAAGTTCTGTAACTACAGCTTTTTTGGTAGGAGGGATTCTGTGGAAAGCATTCTGATTGCATCATTTCTCATAGTTCAGATTAGACACCATTTTACTATGAAACACTCATGTATTGACTGCACTGAGACTTTCAGTCATATGGAGAAACCTAGGCAAAATTTTTATATACTTGGAAGAATATTTAAATTAGTAATAAAATCTTTAGTTTTAAACTGTTGAATGTTAAATAAGATATAAAATGTACTTGAAAGAAATTTACTTTGATATCAGTCACTGCCATGTTGTAGTTTCAAGACATAATAAAAAAGTAAACTAATGTTTATATTTTGCTGTTTAAGTTTATTAATATATCAGATGAGTCTTCAAATTCTACAGTGGCTTTTGATAGTATCATTTTTATTTGTCATCTTACATAGAATAAATATAAATAGCCATTTATGCTTAAAAGGAACGAATCTATTTATGGAAAAAAAGAGAAGCCTGCTTCTCAACTAAATCGTACAGTTTAGAAACCCAGATCTGAACATAGATTATTGTTGTGACCTATGTAGGAAAATATTTCGTTTTCCTTATCATATTCTTTATAGAGTCCATGTTAACATATAAAGCCAGAAATGTGAGCCTCTGCAAGTTCATTTCTTTGTCTTCAATTTCTGTGAATAGATATGAATTTGTGAATAAGATAATATTAGATGTGATATTACAAATTATTGTGAGAAGCCTCTAAGGATTAGATTTCAAGGACTGCCATCTGGCTGATGACTTTATGATGACACTGTCATGAGATTTCATTTCCTTATTTCTATTCCAGGATCACCCTTTAAACAAGAAATAAGCATTAACTCTGAATTGTCTGTTTGTAGCTGTATGAGGGCTTCCACAACTACCAACTAGCCAGGTACAAACTCATCAAGCAGAGACAGTCCTTGCATCAGAGGGTTAAACATGCCTAGAAGTTCCTTAGCTAAGCTCTCTGATACTAAAAAATCCCTCTAGGTTCTAAGAAAGATTCAGCATATACATGTGTGTACATGTATGTGTGTACACATGTGCATATATATGTATATACATGCATATATGTGTGTATGCATATACGCGCATATACATACAAACACATTTTCTTCCATAAAATAACATCTCAGTATTCTCTGTTCTTCCTAATGTTTTATATTTTAATGATCAAAATTAATAGTTGATCATCTAAAAAAATTTTGACCTGTTTTCCCCATCTTTGACAACCTTGAAGGCACTTGTAAGTCGCTCTTTGCTTCTCTATTCCTAGGTCCTTTCTCCTCTTCACTTCATTGAAACAAGAAAAGAGAAAACAATTGAACCCTATTTTGTGTGCAGCAAGGAGCTACTCTGGTTAAGCACTAGATCTCTTTTACATTCTCTAACATGTTGTTTTAGTAATT